GTAGTAGCGTGGAGGTGGATCACCAGGATCTTGGCGCCTGGTAGAGAATGGTATGCACATCGTTGTAGGTTCTTGCGAAACGCAGGACTGTTTGTTTGTACTCAATGATAGAGGGCGTTGCTTTAATGATGCGATATCGGTCAGAGTGATTGATGAGGCTTCAGGTCATTCATAGTCTGCAAGGATCTTGGCGGCGAGCTACTCAGTGGAGTGGGTACTTATTGCCTTTATATAAGTCCTCTGATGTTTGGCAAGAGCATGCGATCAAAGTTATCTACCTACCCTAGGTAATGACGTGACCGCTGTGCGTGTCAATCCCCCGCTTGAAGCCGAGGCTGAGCTCTAGGCATCATAATTGCTGAAACTGTCCAGGCTTCTGGGCCGATTCTTCGAGACAAGCGATTGGCAGTGGGTCAATTTAAAAGGCTATGCAGCCGTAAGTGGTGTTAAATCCTGCGGCAGCAAACACAATTATCGGTCATTGCGTTCCTGTTTAAGTTTGCCTCTGATGTTGTCAGCCTACATGCAGTTTTGAAGATCTTGGCCGGAATGTGAGGTCGTGGAGTAACGATCGACCGGCCCCCAACAGATAAGGCCGCCTGACTTATTTACAAGCCCAACAACCCTGCCTACTGTCATATCCACAAGAATTTGACGATGCAAACAAATGGCTAATCAGAAAGCCTGCTCTTGCCTCCAAAGTCCACTTCCGAAATCGAGTTCCTTCGGACACAGATTAGACTCAACCATCTTGATCAAGCGCAGGTGGCTAACAATAACTCAATTCACCCCTAGATTCAACCAGGTTCTTCCATCCAAATTCTTACTTACATGTTGAGCTATTCTCTGTGGCTACAAGGATAATGGTGGACTTTGAGAGCTTGTTTCTCAATGCATTTGCGCGTTGTATTGTCAAGGCCTGCTCCGAGGTCAAAGGTCTCAACTGCGTTCAACGACAACTACGTATGAACGGATATTCTCATGAGTCATCAGCATCCTCCACCTCCCCCGTCGCATCCACCGCCTCCTCCGCCTCCTCCACCATCTCCTCCGCCTCCGCCTCCGCCATCACAGCCATAGCTGTCGTATCCTGCTTCGGCATCCCCGCCTCCGCCTTCGCCCCCAATACTATTGCCGCCCTGGCCCCAGTCTGCAACGAAATGATGACCCGCGCCAAGAAGTCGAATGTAAGCAGCTCCCTGGTTGACGTTGTTGGTGGTATTGTAGTTGTTTGTGTAGTAATCATCTTCCTCATCTCTTTTTCGTCTAAAGAACGGAAGACACATCGTTACAAAGGACGATGAAAGGCTTCGCCCAAATATTTATTTGTATGATAGATGTGTGAATTGAGTTGGCAGTGAGAGTCCTGCTGTATTGGTACGACAAGCTTGTTATACTGAAGGACGACTTCGACACTTGTGTTTGAAGAAAATAATGAGAAATTTAATGATAGTCTTGAGCTCTGAACATTTGCACCTCAGGCCATTCTTAAATACCAACATCAGGCTCTTGCCAAGAGAGTTTGGCAAGCCTATGAGTCCATAACTTTCGGATTGAGGTTGCAGCAGTCAGCTTATTCCACTGAACAGCAAGGCTCGGCCAGCCAAGCTGTAATCTCAGCTACTTGCCAAGCATGTTTGCATGGTAACAATGTACCTTTTGCATATGCTTGGCCAGTCCTTGCATTGCATAGCCAGCTGATGACATGGTTTACAGCTGAAAGACAGTGCATGCCCACGAAAGGTATAGGATGAAGTTGTGAACGCTTCTCAGATTGTGTTGCTAATCTAATAAAGTACAAACGTACAAATCCAATGTCTCCCGTCAAACCATTATCTTTCAAGGTATCAATCATGAAACTCCAAAGCCCAATGTTACATCATTTTATGAACAACCTCCTCCACCTCCACCATCTGCGCCGCCGCCGCCGCCATCACAGTGGCCTCCTCCATGATGACCCCCTCCGCTGTAATCGGCCCAAGCTCCCACTAAATCACCGGCAGCTGAGGCGTAGTGACGGCCGTGTTTGCGTGACTTCTTGCCACCGTTGTAGTATCCGTAGTTGTTGTAGCCGTATTTCTTTGAGTAGCTCATGGCTGGTTGTGGATGGTAATCGTAGACCCGATCATGTTTTTTCTTTCTGAAGAGTGGTATACACATTTTGGAGGTGTGTGTGTTTGTGCTTGTTAATGTTGAAGCACTGAAACAGATAAAAAGCTAGTTTCGTTTTGGTAATGCAGGCTGGGGATTCAGTTGTAGTTTATAGAAGTAGACAACTTGTAGTGGAAAGCTTTTCTCTGTAGGATTGTTTGTGATGATTAGATGATTGACAGATCTTAACCAGGGAACGATACGCACTTATATACATGCGATCTCTGGCTTGAATGCAGCCTAGAGTGACGTCGGTCGTCAGCTTCCTCGCTCCGAAACTAGGTCTGAGCCCCGGGCAACCCATTAGAGCATCCTTCGAGAACACTTCTACGGCAAATATGTCACTAGACAGCACCTGATTGATCAGACTCACTACTGCACAGCCACCAGCGCATTTTTGTTGCACAGTTAACCGCGTGAATCATCCCTAATCAGTCTTAGATGGCCTTAGCGTTCCCCTGTAATTTCGTCGCTTGAATCTTCAGCCCTGTCTCCTAGTGATGATCTTGTCTCAAAAGGGTATCAATGGAGCGATGTGATCGACCCGCCTCTGACGTCGTCAGCTGCTGGTGCTGCGCCATGTTACAGCGACCGCGATCTTCAATATTTTACTTTTAGAATATCCTCATTTTCCCAGGCCTTGAGGCCTTGATGCAGCGAGAACCCATTTGAACGAGCCAACCTGACTCTGTTAACAGTCAGAAATCAGAGAGCGATGCCAAAACTACAGTGCCCTCTATCGAACCCCAGGAATGAGATGAATAAATTGTCAAAAAAAACGCATCTCTATCGTATAAGCCAATGATCTAATAGTACACAATACACAAATTAAGTAAACGCTATAGCTTTCTCTTGCCAGTAATGAGCTCAAACTCCTTTTCCGAGCTCTTCTCGAGCTCTCTTTTAACCCAAGCTCCTATACTTGAAGCAGCCTCTTGAGGGCTCTCCAAATGTAACTGAAAGAAGCCCTGCAATAATGATGGCGTGAACGTATCGTCGGGAATTTCTTTCCCAAATTCCGCAGCAAGCTTCTTGATCTCATCCACATCAAGATGCGAGGTGCATCCGAGATCAGGAGAAAACATGCGGATAAACATCTCTTCAGCTGACTTTCGACTGATGTTGCCCAGGAGAACCTTCATATCGACTCGTCCTGGCCGTACCAACGCGCTGTCCAGCTGCTCAGGGTGGTTGGTGGTCATGATAATGATACGTCCCTCAACCGAACCGACGCCATCCAATACATTCAAAAGCCCTGAAAGAGTGCAATTGGGCGCAGCACCTCCCTCTTGCCCATTTTCTGAGTTTGAACGATCAGTCCAGACCGCATCGATGTCTTCGAGCAAGACGACACAACGCGGAGGAATTTCTTGGAACATTTGCTCCAGATCCGCATCCGTGGCCACACTGGGAATCTTGACTTCATAAAGATCCAGTCCAAATTCACCGGCGATCGCAACTGACAGCGAGGACTTTCCAGTTCCGGGAGGTCCGTAAAATAGATAACCTCGCCTATAAGGCATACTCCGACTCTGGTATCTCTTTTGCGTCTTGGGATCAAGGTAATTTCGAATATCGCCGAGAAGCTCTTGTTTCGTCTCATTATCGAAGTGAACGGTCTCTAAATGTCGAATCGGTTTCCGTGCCTTTGGTTTCCACGAAAGACCATAGCGATCTCGAGCGTAGATAATCACGAAAAACTGTGTTTGCCGATCTGAATACTCTCGGCATGATTCGATAAATGCCTTGATGGGCTCAGCCGACCAGCCAAAGCAGCTCACAGTGATCTCTTCTCCTCCGATGCCATCATAACTAGGGTCCGATAGAGAAGAGCTGAAGTCGTCGATTCTGCGTGTCACAAGAAACAGATTTCCCTCATAAAATAGCCATCTTGTGTTCCAATGGGGCGAATACTGGATAGAATGCTTTGTCTTTTTAAGGGCTGCGGCGCGATCTCCATTCTGACCGATATCGGTGCGTCCATGAAACGAGCGATAATGTCGTTCCCGATTAGCCAGAATCCATTTGACAACACTTCTGTTGAGAGGATCTCCACCTGGAATTGTCACTGATGCGAGAAAGAAGCGTCGTATCGTGCCGTAGACTTCATGCCATATGCGATGCAGAAATCTCCAAGCTGTAGGTACTGTTCCGGCAATGGCGATGAGCGATCCGATCTGTGTGATATCGAGTTCTGACCAGCGCGAGACAACATCTCTCATGATACCGATTCCTTGCGACATTGGGTCGAGAAGATGCTGTCCGGTAGCAGCGCCAACGTGGAAGTGATGAGACATATTCTCAATGCTCACCAAGTTGGCGACGTGCTCAATTGAAGCTCAGCGTGGGGTGCAATTGAGCGACCATTGAGAGGTATAGCTGTAAGAGACGAAGATTAAAGAAAAGACATTCGAGAAATAAAACAATTACATCGGTTTAAAGAGCGACAAGAAAGATCAATTAAGAATTCTGTACAGATTGATAGGGGATTCCGTCATACTACAACCCAGAGATTTGTCAAGGTTTGGTAGCAATTGAAGATTTGCCATTGTTCCCCGCCTACCATTCTTGGTAAGGCGCCCCTTTTTATGCATCTTGATCCCTGTCGACGTTGCTGTGGGGGTTTTCATCCTGATCATTTTTGTCTTATTTCCGCGAGGCGCACAGAGACCTCAACGTACTCACAGGGACTTGGGGGTCTATCCAACGAACGAATCTGGGGGCAGCGTCTTGGTCCCAGGCCGATTACACTGTAATGACTGTGAATAATCTCAAAAAAATCTTAGATATATCACGAGCGAAATGCGAGCTGTCATATGATAGAGCAGGTTGAACAGAAGCCTGGGATTTCACAAAGTGACTAAATATAACGTGCCAGCTTTCGAATGCCCGAAACACATCTCATTGGAGTCTTTTGTGATCTTGTTAATGATCACATCAACAATGATAGCGGAATGTCCACTTTGGGGCTCGATCTGGATATCATATCCAAGAGAGCGAGGAAAATCAAAAGATATAAAAGGTTCATCAACAGGCTTGAAAAATGTCTCCTTTCCCCACTCAGACCAAGCGACTTCATAATAAGGGGCAGTTCCTATACCAAAGATCTGTACGGGACAATGGATGTTGACTCCGAACCAGGAGCCATTGGGTGCATACCACATACAGCATCCGTCCATGTCACCCTGTGCCCAGGCTCCATTGGTAAAGAACCACGCTAGAGTTGTTGAACCAGTGCGGAAATGTTTATCTGGCATAGCCTTTACAGACAAGATCCAGGGCGGGTGCACTTGAGCATCGCAAAGAGTGAGATGCTCACCCGCTGTTTGATTCCACCAGGTAAGGATGTACGTGGCATCTATATCACGGGGAATCCTGAGGTTTTATATTGGAAGACGAAGCATCCGTAGTCTTGGCTTTGTGCTGCTTTAATGCTTCGATGGCCGCTTCATGTAGTTTCGGATCTGCATCCACGATTATCATGCGTTCTTCTGAATTATGATCGATGTAAAGGATTCTAACCATCGACGATTGATTTGAGTGTGTCGTGGCTCGATCGCCAATGCTCAGGCGGAGGAGGAGGACCTCTTTTGTCTATGGGCTTGGCCACACGACGTGAATTTGCTTTGACGTAAGAGGCGACACCTTTGACTAATTAGTGACTGCCTCGACACAAATGTTCGTTACTTACCTTCTGGATGAGCAACTTTAGTCAACCAGTCTCCTGCTTGAGCAAGGCAGCCTATAATATCTTCTGTACCCCGATCCTCCGCAAAGAAAAGAGGTACTGGTGCCAGTAACAATAAGCCTGTTTGCTGGTTCGAGTCATAAGGAGAAAAGCAAGTCTGCTGCCTCGATGTATCCTGGCTTTATGCACAAAAACACGTATCAGAGAGTAGGTGAGCTTTCAAGGCATCAGTACCCTCGGACATTGCTCTGGCGAACGAGTCGACAGCTCGTTCAGAATCGAATTTGACTGAGCCATAAGTTCCATCTAGCCACCAATCCAATTCCCCTCCCCAGCGTAATCCAAGGCGAGACATGTTCTATATGATAGTTCGCTAAGATTCGGAGAGTAGTAGTTGTCGTATGAGGTCTGATTGACAAAAGCTGGAAACCCGACGCTTCTGATATTCAACACTGGAGTCAACTGCACTAGATCCAAGTCGATCATCACATTGCGGGTCTATCCGCTTGCAAACGAACATATTCTATTAGCAATGGATTCAGAGCCGGGAAGGCGGCAATGAAACCGCATATGATGTGCAATATCATTCGCTGAACTCACACAAAAGGCTTTAGTCACACAGCCACCAACTCGTATTAGCTTCAGCATTCAAGCCTGATGGCGTGAAGATCTCGCATTGCACCTTCTCCGCTATGCTTTGCGATAGTTTCCAGCCCAAACATTCTATCTCCTGAACAGTAGCTGTCGCCATCAGTCATAGTGGTTAGCCTTTTCCCGCAGCCTAGGGGAGGAAAGAAAACCAGGATCTTGACCCTAAGTGATAAGATTATTTGGGTAAATCTAGCCTAAACTTGAAAGACCGTTTCCTAAGTTTATTTTACTACCTTCTTTCAAGTCTCATGTTTTCCTGCTCCCTTAGGACAGCCTCCCTGACATGCCAACAACCACTCGCTGGAGGCAGTTTATTGAAAACATTTTCGAGGAAACCAAATATATATAAGGGGCTCTTACTGGAATATTCCATATATATCTATCAATACAATAACAGTTCTTGTTTTGCCCAGTGCAGCATTGACATGCTGATCTCTGAACCGCATTTATTCACCACAAATTCCATCAGGTCCGGCTCTTCAGCCACCTTCTTGTCCTTACAGAATATCACTCATCATAACCCTTGTTCCCTTTGATTTCATTCCAGAAGTCAATGAAGTCCTCGACGCCTTTATTAGCCATGTTTTCGATATGGGGCATCTGTTCTCTAAGCCAAGCTTCTTCCTCACCAGCCTCAGGCGCAGCCATTCCTCCCTCACGAATCGTGACCAGCGGTACGAATTTCACCATAATTAGCCTTGTCTTCTCATCCTCGTCGCTCCATGCTGACTTCTCGGGCGGCGATGTGACTTGAAGCGTTTCGTACCAAGCTGCTTCTATCTTAGCACCGAGCTCATCGAAATCTGCTTTCGATCGGGCTGCAGATGTGCGAACGTTTCCAGAAATGCGATTTGATGTAAGAGGATGAGGTTTTCCAGCGATGAAGTAAGTGTTGTCGGTGTTATCTTCTGTAAAGAAGCGTACGTGGACCAGGAATGCTGGTGTCTTGAAGGCTTTGCAGTGAAGCCTCGTAATTGCAGTTGCTAGGTTTTGACGTTGGTCCTGTGTGAGAGGACAAGAGTGGTGGACTTCGTAGAAAGGCATGATGAACCCGTAGATGGTTTTTTGATAGTATAAAAAGGAGGACAAGTTATTATGTTTGCGGAAGCAGTTAAATAGAGGGTGATGCTAACTTATACTGGCCACAAATGCGGGGTCGGCTTATTGATCCATGGATGACGGCCAAATGGCGAGACATCACCGTGAATAATATCACAGAGGTAATTACAAGTTGCCTTTCAATTCAATTATATCAGCACTGATAAAGCTATCTTATGGACCATTGAGAGGCACGTTCTTCGATCCTATGCACGTTTTGCTTGTCCAATATTGACAACGATTCCAAATGGAGTTGTCGACGTAATTTCTACCACTTCTCAACGTATGGCCGGATATCGATCTCCTGGGTAAATGCAGAGCGATGTTGGGTATGAAGATTCCAATAAGCCTCAGCAATCTACAAATTGCATTAGTAACTTTCAAGCCAATTGTGTTGATCAGCTTACCGCATCAGGACTAATCTTTCCATCCTCGACACCGTCATTAGCAGCCCATTGCTTGGTCCGTGGGATATCGATGACTCCGTCAATCACGGCATGAGCTACATGGACACCCTTTGGACCGAATTCACGAGCAAGAGATTGATGCATCGCGCGTTGGCCCCATTTTCCAGCTGCAAAGGTGCTGAACTGCGCGGAACCCTTAACGGAAGCTGTGGCGCCAGTGAGGATTAGGGTCGGAGGGTAGTGAGAGCTTGGTACTGCTTCAAGAAGATGAGGGATAGTAGCTTGCGCAAAGTTGAAGAATGCCCGGCTTGTGTTGTTAGTTGACAGCATCTTCAGTTGGACGGAATGACGTACATAGATCCATCAATGCTGGCATTGAGTTCATTCTCTGTGAGCTCCAAGAAAGGTTTCTTAGCAAAGCCACCGCTTCCGACGTTGTAAACAGCGGCCGCGAGTTGACTGTCTGGCAATTCCTTGTTGATAGTCTCAAAAGCCTTCTTCAAAGATGCAGCGTCTCCAACGTCGGCTGAGACCCCGATCGCCTTACCACCCGCCTTTTGAACATCTGCAAGAGTACTCTCGTAACTCTCAGGCCGACGAGCAAGTAATACTACTGGGTATTTCTGAGCGAATCGCAGAGCGACGGAACGACCTGGTTGAAGATCAGTAAGCAGGGGGAGTTGAAAGGAGGGGTAAGCTTACCAGTGCCAGGGCCAACGCCAGCGATGAGAGCGTAGAAGGACTTGGACGACATTGCGATAATTGGGTGGTTGTGTATTTGATAGATGAACTGTCAGATAGAAGAGATGTTTGATTGCGAAAGAATCCTGGGAATTAAGTAGAAAGATGAATGTTCAAAGTGGCATAATCGCTCTGCCTCGTTACGTCATCTGCTAGACTGCTTATAAATATCGCTGCATCAACATGGCGTTTCGCGTCTTCAAATCAACACCGACAGTGGCTGACTGATGAACCTCGGACTACCGAAGCATTAGACTGTTGACAAATCCAAATACCCGAAGCGCTTCTGATCTATTAATACCTGGTATTCTGCTATGCTATCCAAATTACTTGATATCGTTCTTAACCTTGTCTACCCATTTGCTCCCAAGCCCATTGAGAAGAGGAACGCGAATGAAATCCGCGATATCACGATACAAAACCTCTCGCTTCTGCTTTCCAACTGAAACGCTCATCTTCTTTGCCTTTTTCATTCCTTTTTTGGCCTTGCCGAGTTTCGATCCAACTTCCCATATCATCCAATCCACGGCCACGCGTGTGATCTTGCTATAGTCTTCCCATTTAAAGACTCCAGCAGCGCTGTTCACACCGCCGTTCAGAACTTGCTCAAAAATTGCGTGCAGGAACTCCAAGCCCTTCTCCTGATTTTCAGCAAGGCTGGACCATGAGCCGCCGGTAATAAGAGTGACGGTTGCCAGGTTGCGGCCACGGCATATTATTCTAGCAATGTCTGCCTGTCTCTGTTTTAGTAACGTTTCTTCGCTCACAGGTTTCGGTACTTACAAGTTTGGTCGGCTCTGGAATAAACTCAAATACCTTCAACGCTGGAAGATTATCAACCAGAGTCGAGACTGTGTCAGGCTCCAAGCACGTTATTTTGTAGCCACTCGTCACGCCCCTATAGGATATCTTCAGCTTGGTCAGTTTCTCATGTTTGAGAATAGCTCTGACGAGTGAGCTCTTCAGACCAGGGTTGACCGTGATCTCTTGACGGTATTGGCCGTAGTCATGCAGCTCCAGACAAGTCAAAGTGTCGAAAGACGATATAAAGTCGATTCTGGCGTCAACATGTGCTTCTTGCTCCTCGGGTACCGCGAAAGAGGTTTCCTTTCCCATTTCAATGTCCAAATCGCGCAGTTTAATTTTGGCCTTTTGATCATCTCGAGCCTTCGAGAAGACATCGCTGAGATACTCAAACAATATCTTGAGGTCATGTGAAAGATAGCCAAACTTCAATTCTGCTAGCGCAACAAAGTCGACAGCATTTGCTAGAGCACTCAGAAAGTCTTCATCAATAGTGGCTCCAGTTAGAGAGAATGATTTGAGTGAGGTAAGGCTCTTGCCTTTCGGCCAGTCATCCAGGAACACAGAGCTAAATGATCCAGTCTCTATGTCCAGACTTCGAAGGGTCGCCCGAGAATTTAGAATCAAGGATAATGGAGTGTTATCTTTTCGGAAATTGGGGCTAGCAAAACCGAGCAGATGAATGGCCAAGTGTTTGAGGTCTTTGATTTTGGCTAGCGGTTTTGCTTCGCTTTCTCCCAGGTTACCGGCAGAAACACTCAAGGCTCTGAGATTCTTTTGGCTTGCTAAACTCTTGGAAATAGATCTGATGCATGTCAGCCTGAAAGTTCGCAGCAGAAGAGATTTCGCATACTCTGTAATACTGGAGGTTTCGACGACCTCAAGATTGGACATATTCTTTAGAGCTTCCTCAACATACCGGTTCACAATGAACTTGTGGTTTTTCCCTGGGTCGCCGATAAACAGACTGGCTTGACGGGCGTACTCCCCAAACCGAGGCTTCTTTTGGGGATCAACAACGTTTGGAAAGCTTTCTTGCTGGCCTCGGTACTGGCCCTCCTTCCTGAGTTGTTTTCTTTGATTAATAGACAGAAAAGGCTCAAGAGTTCGGATTAACTTGGGAATATGAGCATGATAAGCTACAGAGACATCGATGCGTTCGTAGAGTCGAGGCGCAACTATGGCAAAGTAGCTCTTGTTGGTGCAGCTCAGTCTTCCGAGCGTTCTAGTATCCTCGATCTGATTGCGTTCAGCACTTCTCTAATTGATTAGTGGATGTTGCTAATCTCACATGGTCCAAAATCAAGTTCAGAATCTCTCGTGGACAGGACCAAAGAAGGTCGGTCGTTGTACACATTGGTGACTTCGTGGATAGTACTTCAGCCTTCTTACGACTAGTTTCTGCCCTCGCTTTCTTTGTAGCTGGCCTTCCATCATTGTTGAACGCTTGTCTTTTCGCATTACCGATGACGAGGGGCTTTTCATGCAATTCGCTCACTGTTCCCTTTCGCTTGCCTGTTTTGCTAGACATATCAGGGCCGGAGTCATCTTGGGCACTTGTAGGCGCCCGGTCGTGCAGAGCGTGGAGCCTGGCGCTCCTTCGGGTGGTCATGATAAAATCACGGCAAAAAGATGTTTGGGTGCGATGGCGGGAGCCTCCAAGGCTGTGAAGGAGATGAAAGGAGTATAAGCCGAAAGCTAAGGTTACGCGACGTGTTACCGGAGCCTGAGCGATATCACGTGACAATGTTGAAAGTGTACTCCGTACAGGAGTCCTAAAGTCCTCGGGGAGTACAGCCTTCATGATGTGACCGTATCACAACGAAAGGTCTGCGACATTGTTACTATTTTAATACGACTTGGCGGAGCTCCCGACTCCATCTGCCAACTAAAAAATACATAAATTAGACTATAACTCCTCCCCCAATTCAGCTCCTCAGCACTCAAACGAAGACACAAGAACGCTCGACATTCATGTTTACGACCATTCGAAGATCCATCAAGTCTCCAATCAAGAGTTTAATGGATCCAGGCCAGATGCAGAGAATTTCTGGGAGGTATCGCATGCCGTCAGAATGGCAGAAGCACTCGCAAACGCTGACTGCATGGCCGTCAGCCGCCTCTGTTGTAGAGGAGAAGATCCTTCGACAGGCGCGCGCGGAAGTCTCGGCTCTTTCCAACGCCATCTCCCGGTTCGAGCCAGTCACAATGTTTGCCCGCCCGGAAGACGTTCATGAAGCATCTGAAACGGTGTCTGATAATGTCACTGTGCGACCGCTGGCCGTGAGCGAGCTCTGGATCCGCGATACAGGACCGGTCTTTGTTCATGGGACGCAAAATGGCTGTTCTACTGGGCTCAAACTTAATTTCAACTACTGGGGAGCCAAGATACCATCCACTGGTGATGAAGCGGTTGCTGCGAATATCCAGATTCCAGAAGCCTCAGTCATAGACCATAAGGATGAAAAAGACGGAAGTGCGCCCAAGGGAAATGTTATACCTATAATTGACGCCGGCTTCACTAGTGAGGGAGGCGCGATTGAGGTCGATGGAGATGGGACCCTTCTCGTGACTGAGAGCTCCATCATCAATGAGAACCGGAATCCCGGGAAATCGAAAGAAGAGCTAGAAGGACTATTCGAGAAATACTTCGGAACCCACAAAGTGATCTGGCTTACTGGCGTCAAAGACTATGATATCACTGACTTTCATATCGATGCCTTTGCGAGGTTCATCAAACCGGGCCAAGTTCTGTTGAGCAGACCTTCTGAACGTGCTGACCCGCGAGTTATCCAAGCCTACAAAGAAGCCAAGGAAACTTTGAAGAACGCAACAGATCATCGAGGAAGACAATTGGAAGTCTTTGAAGTTGAAGAGCCTCATCCTAGTGACCTCCCCGGCGAGAATTGGGATCATTTCGATGTCACAGTTGCTTCATATGTCAACTACTACCTTCCCAACGGAGGCCTGATCATGCCTCGCTTTGGAATTGGAAAGCTTGATAATGATGCCTACGCCTTGTTTCGCCAGCACTTCCCAGAACGAGTTATTGTTCAGGTTGATCTGAACATCCTTCCTAAGCTCGGTGGAGGAATTCATTGTGCTACTCAGCAAGTGCCGGCAGAGGACTGGATGCAGAGAGGAATACGAATGGGGGAACTAAAGTTCTGATGTCGCGACTTATGCACTTGGACAGATACATGTAATATTAAAACGGAAGTCCCAGGCCAGTGTCGGATAGTACTGACTTTTCTTGAATTGAAACTCCACTCGATTTCATCACTTAACCCTTTGCAAGAGAGGCCTGATAAAGGATTTCGTAATAATCGAGTTGAAGGGATATATCTATTTCGCATGAAACGTTTCTCTTAGTCGTTTGCTCATACCGTCGCTCTAATAATACAGGAATTCATATTCTAACAAAGACGTGCAGGCTGTGGCCTATTCTCAATATGCGTTGCTGCACCTGGCCACGATGTACAGGGCATCGCAACTGTTGTTGCTGCGCATGGCGTGGACGCCATACCCGTCTGCATTGCTGTTGTTGCACCTGGAATCAACAGACAGGGGGTCTCAATCCTTGTCTCTATGGCGGGCATGGACGTGGAGGTCTAACCCGTCCATCCCCTCCTTCTTTGTTGCTGTGACGGGCCTCGACATCCAGCCCGTCTCCACCGTTGATTCTGCTTCTAGCATCGTCGTCCCCCCATTCTTCTACCGCCGCCCATCATGCCTCCCATACCTCCACCCATGCGTCGTCCGCCTCCCATTCCTCCCATCATACCGCCACCTCCCATGCGGCCGCCTCCCATGCCTCCACCCATGCGACCTCCGCCATGGTGATGGTGGTGAACTTCCTTGACTGGGCGAGCACCCATCATTCCACCGCCGCCAGAGCTATAGCGAGTTTGGCTTCTTCCGAAAGGGAGACACATTGTGATGGTAGTTGTGTGTTTGACGTGGTTTGAGTTGTAGGTGTTGTAGGTGTTGTGTTGATTGAGTTTGGCTAGCTTGCAGTGGGAACAACTCGTTGTGGGTTCTGTTGAGTTTGGATGTGTTTAGAGTTTATGGAGAGGGTATTTGGTAGAGGGTATCTGAAGGATTTGAGTTGTAGGACTTTGGTGGTTTCTTATTGATGACGATGATAATGGATTGTGATGAAGGGAATCAGAGGCAGTATATATAGTCTTCAATGCCATGTATGACATCTCCATCTCAGCCTTGCAACCTTCAGTCAGTTGAAAGGGGATAAACTTGGATTCATCGATAGTTTCCGTATGACGCCACTTCAGCTCCAAGCCGTGGCCCGGAAGGCGCAGAGCGTTGGCAGATGTCATGGCTGGGCCTACCTTGGGCCTAAGCCTACTGCTAGACTCGCTAGGGCCATTGGATACTACGTAGTATAGAGTTGTGGCTTCTCCGTTAGATGCAAACCTTGTTCTGCCAAGCCCAATGCTCGTCAGACCCAAGAAAATGGGGTCTCGGCGGCGTCGTCATCTCTTACCATGCCAATAGCACCACTTCCCTCTGCTAAGTTATTACCTAGTCCCTGATCGGTCGGCCCGCCAAGACTTCGGTTCAATCGGCTTGCGATATCTTGATAGAGAGATTCGGTGGTCTTGGAAGGTTGCATTGATCAATTGCACGTCAGAACATTTCGATTGAAAAGCTGGTATCCAAGGAAATTGCAATTTAATTGACATTATTCAATGATATCATTTTCTCTGCATTGCCCTGTTTCCAGAGGCTTGCAATACGTTGCAAGTCTGGCTTGGTGCCGACATTGCTCTCGTTGAGCGCTACATCGACTTGATCAACATTAACCACCAGGGTTACATACTTTATTATATGTTTAATAAATCCTTTCATAAGAATCAAAGACTCCTGAGGAATACCTTATTCAGAAGTTGACTCAGAATGACTAGCAGCGACTCAACTTCAAACGCTGTCCTTCCTCTTCCTCTGCCAAGTAGCAACGCGCCCCAAAGTCTAGGAGTTCGCACATCCACTGGCCCCCATTTCCCAAAGATGGCAAGGCTAAGGTGTGTAACATAGTATTTATTTCTAGATAAGCGACTTTTAAACTCGCAGGTATCGATATCTGATTGTGAATGCTGAACACAAGAGGATAGGATCCATCAGCCAATATAAGTTACAATATTGGAAACGTCTTGACCTAGATAGTTCTGATTATCGCAGTTCATTTTGATATCTTAAACTTCTATATCTCTAAGAGCTGGAATCAATTCGTAATTTATGTCGAAGAAGATGGTATACCGAGGTTGTCGGGCGTATTTATACATTATACGCAAAGCCACAGGCTTCACTTAGCATCTTACCCTTCTAAGCGCATCTGCTTCTGCTGGTAGAGCATATATGGCAGCCCTGAACCAGGCAATCTCAGAGTAAAAGGTTTCAAGCTACTTGTAATGGCAATGTCCAAGTTTTTAATCAGATGTGTTGTGTTATTTGCAGTTGAGATCCTGGCTAGGAGCTTATATGAGCGCAGAGAACTTGAAACTTGGCGAGTCCATCGTAGGTCTTGCAGCCGATATTTTGATTATCCTTCTCAATTTTATCTATTATCTAGTATAAAAATTCAATGTTTTCTCATTTGATGCTTGACTCTTCCACAGTGGACTTTAGTGGCTTCCAAACTCCGCTCCATACTCTGAAGTCCGCAATCCTCTCTGCCAAACAGTCCGCCATCGAGACATCTATCTTCATGGCTACTTGCTGGCCATAAAATTAAACTTTCAGTTGCTAAGTTGCTGACATATACTGCTAGAATACAACAGTCTGCACTCCGCACTCCGCACTCCACATCTACAAGCACTTGGCCTAGTTTTCAAATATTTAAGCTAACCTCGCCTCAAAGTGCTCAATTTCTAAAGAAACCTCATATCTATCAACTGTGACAACATTGGCACATTTTCTCTATCCTAGCAGGCAGCCCTCTCGTTGCAAAGCTCTGGGCCTGTCAGCGAGATGAAGGTCGCGATTCTTGGTGCCACTGGTGAAACGGGAACTTCAATCTTGAACGCCCTCCTCGAGTCAACGGAGCCACAATATGTACGTCAGGTTTCATTCTTGACGTAAGAATCTTATTAACTAGCCCGATACTTAGGAGATTACTGCACTAGTCCGTCAATCCTCACTAGAGAAACCTGAGGTACTTGCTCTCAAAGGAAAGGGAATCAACGTCATAGCTGCGGACCTAAGTGGCCCTGAGGATGAAGTCGCGCGAGTACTCGATGGTATAGATACCGTTATTTCAGCAATCAGTGCTGCAGGCCTCCTTATACAAATCCCGCTCATCAATGCCGCTCGAGCCGCGGGTGTCAAGCGCTTTTTGCCTTGCTGTTTCGCCCCGATTATGCCCCCAGCAGGTGTTTTAGGGTTGAGAGACGTTGTATGTCTGTCCGATTATTGCATTTCTTCTACCACTAACAGGCGAGACAGAAAGAGCAGGTAATCAATCATGTTAAGAAGGTCAAACTTCCTTATACTATTGTGGATATCGGCTACTGGTATCAGTTGATGCTACCTCGCCTGCCCTCTGGCCGTATTGATTATGCCCTGCCAATCACTCTAGGGGGCATTCCAGGTGACGGAGATACCCCTTGTGCCTTTACAGATCTGCCAGATATTGGAAGATGGGTCGCTCGCATTATCGCTGATCCTCGGACCCTAAACAAGATGGTCTTCGCCTACAACACGGTTCTAACAATGAATCAAGCATACGATCTACTGGAAGAGGCCAGTGGCGAAAAGACTGTCCGCAACTACGTAAGTTCCTTGTCTGATCTGAATCGAGGAGGCACAAATATGTCCTGTACTAATCCGATCTGGGCTTATAGATCTCAGAAGCCGCGGTCATGGAGGGAGTGGCTAGAGCAGAGGCTGATTGCCCGTCTCCGGACTCGTTCAACTACTTCGAGGTGGTGAAGTACCAGTATTTCGACGCACTCGGAATTCGTGGGTATAATACCCCAGAGTACGCGCATTATTTGGGCTATGTAGATGCGACGGAGCTCTATCCCGACATGAAAGTGGCCACCCCGGAAGCCTATTGTGAGAGGCTTTTAAGTGGCAAGGCTACGATGATCTATCAGCGGCTGACGCCTGCCGCTCAGCAAGGCGAGATGTGACAAGCATACATGACACTCAACTTCTTGTCACGTTCTGGAAAGCCTCTGCTCGGCTCGAACTTAGTCTAGTTCCTTCTGTTATTGAGTGATATTGTTTCTGATAGCAAAGCATTGGCAGCGTCAATCAGCACCTCTTTGCTGTTCGTTTTCCCTGCATGGCCTCTAAAAGGCAAGTGGCTCACAGGAATGCATTGCGCTGTAATAAATTTCAAGCTTCCGATCTCAGAATAGGCGTGCCATGAAATCTGACAAAGGTATGTTGAAGGCTGAGAATTTCACTACACCACACCACCAGCTCCTCCGGTAGATGGTACGATGTTTTTTAACCTTTGGCAGATTTGGTAGATCTTGATGCTCTCTTCAACGAACTGATTACGGCAGCGGCGAGGCAGAGGGCTTGTGGCCAGCCAAGTCAAATAGAAATGCCGAATGGCCATCTTATATGAACGAGTCTTTCCGATCCCTTTGATGAATATGAACAACCTTAGACGTCGTATGCTGATGATATGGCCATGTCGATGAGGGGTAACAAGCCTTAAGTCTGGCAGCTGACTTCAGCATGCATCGATTCTTACATTCATGACTTTGGCCAATTATATGCATCACATTATTCTTACTAGCTCTGTATGAGAGTTCAGGTAGTAGCACGCTGCACCCGTTATGCGATGTCCGTGTTAGAAAGAATTGAGAGCCATACTGAGCAAACATTGGCAGTGTGGCCATCCTCCTTGTGACTTCCGTAAACTGGCGGAGCGCATGTATTCAATAAGTGCGTTTGCCCCAATCCCAATAGTGCCAAGCCTCTTGAGGTGCCACAGCTTTCAGCTGAGAGGATAAATTTAGCAAATGCCTTGGTATTCTCCTCTTTCACGGTCTCGGTATCCGTATTGATACGGGCCTCAAGCCATATAAATATACGTGAGTCAGTTCGACAACCGTGGAAATGGGAAACAGCAGCTACAACATTCGACCCGGTCTCCAAGATGTCCACTCACATAACTGTTCTTCCTGCCTCAACAAAGATTGGAAGAGAGACCATCCGCCTACTGTTGGCCTCTCCAGCCAGTCCTACTATCCGTGGCATCTATCGTGATACCTCCAAGGCTCCAGATGAATACACAAGTCACCCAAACTTCAGCTCAGTCAAGGGTGATGTTGCGTCTGAGGAAAGTCTCGATCTCAGCAATTCTGATGCCGTTCTCTATGTCCCGCCGCCAACTTATGAGAACATCGACCAGAGCGAATGGGCCAAGCAAGCAGCAAACAATGTCAAAGGTGCCTTGAAGAAATCGGGCGTCAAGAGACTAGTTGTTCTGTCTGGTCTGGGGTCTCATATTGACCATGGTATTGTATGCAATAGTAACCAAGTCGCCAACTGCGTCGATGCTGACGATGTAGGGCTTTGTCCGCTTGAATCATTACACCGACAAGATTCTCAAAGACTCGGTGCCTGAAGTGACTATCCTACAGTCAACTCATTTCCAGGAAGAGTTTGAGTACATGTTTCAAATGCCTTTGGGAGATCCGCCAACAATCTCATCATGGATCGCACCAAGAAATTTCAAGATCCCGATTGTCAGTCTCAGAGACGTTGGCGAGGTCTGTGCGAATAGCTTGCTCAGCAAGCTCGAGAGCCCCAGTCCTCAAGTCCTCAAGATCTTTGGTCCTCGTGCCTACAGTTCAGTCGACCTGAGAGACATGTTTGAGGAAATCACTGCCAACAAGGTTGAGCTCGGACTTGCACAAGGTGAGGATTTGAAGACTTTCTTCAGACAGATTCTTCCTGAGTATTGCATTGCAGACTTTATGGAAATGATAGAGTCGTCACTGCCTGGTGGATTGATCGCCAAGGAGTATGAGGCTGATGAGAATACCGTGACTGGAAAGGTTGACATGTTGGAGGTTTTCCGCGAACTAGGGGAGAAGTATGGCTGTTCGAAGTAAAGCATATATAGCTTGAACATTGACAGCCCCAATGACTCTCGTTTCAATCAATTTCGGATAAGATGAGATATATTCTTGCCTGCGTGTCCTGTTCGGCGCGGATCATTCTTTCAGGGGTTCGTGAAAGTTTTTTATCCTGCTTTCCTCTACAATCCATCAATTTATGTAAGACGATACACATCAAGCCACGTCATTTAACCGTTGCATTTAATCTCACAAAGTTTCAACCTCATGCCAGTCAATAAACTCTGAATAGGCGGAACAGCCTGATTATGTGCTGCGAGGACTGAGTAATGGCTCAGCAATTGGTCAGACATCTTGGTATGATGTCTAAGTTGTGAGCTAGAAGTGTTATTTGCCGCTGAGACCTGTGGCTGAGAGCTTAAAACAGCCGAGGGAACTTAGAGTAATGGCTCAATCGACTGATGACATTCAGGTCCATCTATTGTAGAATGCTGTAACATCATTCATTATATTATACATGTCACTAAATTCGGTGGCAATTGGCTTCATGTGGCGTGCGCGTATCTATCCGTTGATGCCGATACAGTTTACGTGAATCACGCGAGAGTTTATCCACATCACCACAGTGACAAGGCAGGGGTTTATGCTGCTCTTTCAATTAACAGGCAGCAGCAGCAGCAGCAGATAAGGGTAACAATCGGCTCGAAAATGCCGTGATTCATCAATCTACAAAGGTTCCTTCCTATGGATATAAATGGAGATCCTTGCTCCAAATGCAACGGAACTTATGTTTTTCAGTGTGACCATGATGCTCTTATTAATCTGAAACAGGAAGGTGGCTGGCCATATCGCAAAACTATATGAAGCTTCAAGCCTCCCCCCGCGATTTATATCTTGACCAAAACAACAACATATACCGCCATCACCAGAAAGTATGTGGTTTGCTGGCTGCGCTTCCGCTGCCCTCTTGGCGCTCACCGCCAGAGGAAGCGCGTACAGTATCCCCGCCTTGTCCCTGTCGGCTCGAGCCGACTCGGATTCTGGATCCATAAAAGTTCACAACATCTCGGTTCCCGTCGATCATTTCCACAATGAGACCAAGTATGAACCTCACTCGGATAAGAAGTTTCCCTTGAGATATTGGTTTGATGCGCAGCACTATCGCGCGGGCGGACCGGTCATTATTCTCGCCTCTGGTGAGACTTCAGGCGAGGACAGAATTCCATTCCTCCAACATGGCATCCTGAAGATGCTGGCCAATGCGACTGGTGGTGTTGGAGTCATCCTCGAGCATCGTTATTATGGCACCAGTTTCCCTGTCCCGGATCTAAAGACAAAGAACCTGCGTTTCTTGTCCACTGAGCAGGCTCTCGCTGATACGGCGTACTTTGCCGAGAATGTCAAATTTCCAGGTCTGGAGAAGCACAATTTGACTGCTTCCAACACGCCTTACATTATCTACGGTGGATCCTACGCCGGTGCGTTTGCTGCTTTCGCCAGAAAGATTTACCCTGACGTCTTTTGGGGTGGTATCTCCTCTTCTGGTGTCACTCAGGCTATCATCGACTACTGGGAGTACTTCGAGGCTGCGCGACTTTTCGCACCCGGCGACTGCGCCAAGGTCACACAAAAGCTCACTCAGGTTGTCGACAAGATCCTCACTGGAAGCGACAAGGAGGAGAAGAAA